AGTTTATTTGGTTATTGGCAGAAACATCCAACCTTCAACATGCACACTAATTAATCCTCAAATTTCTGTCGATTATGATGATATTTGAGGGTTACATACCACTACATTTCATGGCATAGGCTTTGATCATTTCAAATTTTCACTGGTTTCTTACAATATTGACTTATTAATTGAAATATTTATGTCAAATTCAGCTGGTCAGTGCCAGAGAATTGTAAGTTCTGTACTGTAGTAAATCTAATTATGTATTAGTAGTGTATTATGGTTAAGTAAAGGATGTTCTGAGAGAACATCTTTAATGTGGTAACAAGGTGATGGGTTTCAGCTTATCAACACCAAGAGTAATTGGACTGCACTTGCAACAGCTAAGTACAGTTAATTTTTTGTGTATTATTATACAGTACAGTACTAGTTGTGCTGTAAAGTAGACTTTTCGTATAACTTGCAGAGGAATCTTTTAGTGGCCACCTAAAATTCTTGTTACAGTGGTAAGATGCCTCAAGTATGTACCGTAAGTGTAGGAGTTAATCTTTAATGGTAATTATTACTTGTTTTTTTGTTTGTGTTTTTTAAAGGGGATTAGCCCACCTGGGCACGGGTCACTGCAATAATAATAACAATAATAATAAAGAACCATAAAGAAAATAAGATATGAAAAAAAATCAAGAGTGAGAAACAATATACAGCTCCTCCCCGACTTACGACCTACTCGACTGACGCCCACCTGGACATACGACCGCCTCGGTCGTACCAAAATGTTGTCACATTACGTATTTTCGAGTCCCAACGTCAGTGATTGCACTGTGTACTGACAAAATTTTCGTTTGTAATTCACTTTAAAATGGCTGGCAAGCTTAAAAATGAGAGTTTTGTGGTGCATTTTCGACTTACAGTCAGTTCTGCTATAACGCGATGGTTGTGCTCTTGTAAAACATCGTGTTATAGAAATTCGCAAAATAGAAATAACAGGGCTTATGGAAAAAATAGGGTTAGGTGCAGATTACTCAAAATCGAAAAAAATTTAGTAGTTAGCCTTACACAAAGGATAGCAGTCTAAATAAATGTTACATTCATATCTAATAATGAAATCATACAATAAATGTAACACTTTACCTTGAGAAAATATGAATATAACTTCATGGGGGAGAAGGGTGATTTTGAGGTTGACAACATCGAGCTTCTCTTCAAGTGCTATAGCCTTTCTTTTACGATCATCACCGGGAATGCGATCACCAGAACACTTCTTGGAGATATTCTTCTTCACCATATTCACAGTTAATACCACAAAATTGGAGAAATATTAAGCAAAAATCGCGTTACAGCAAACAAGAGTTCGCGTTTCACAAATATCGTTCCTCTATTCATAAATAGCGTAACAGCCAATTCGTGTTGTCAAAACACGCATTATAGCAGAACTCACTGTACGACCATTTTGACTTACGACCTGGATTTGGGTCCCTAACCCTGTCTTAAGTCGGGGAGGAGCTGTATGTATGTTGTGTTGTAAATGGAAAGAGAAACAATTGAGACCCTGCAATTGTGTATAAATGAGGCAGAAAGTCAGATCGGCAACCTGGGACTTGGTCACAATTTTCGTGATGCCACATGGCAGCAGGGTGTACCATTAGACAATACATTATGCTTCCAATATATTCCCAGGCAGTAGTACCTCCCTGTTTGGTAGCTACCTACTACCTACCTATTTACCTTATTTAGGTAGCTATTTAAAAGTTATTATTAAGTACCTATTGTATTTATTTACTTAATAATTAACACGGGTAAATGTGCAGCAGACACCTAACACCAGAAGGAGTTGTTCAATTTTGTTCATTTTATCCACAGATGTTCTTTGGATGTTAGTAAGTAATAAAAATGATACAACAATGCACAGAACCTAATAGAACCTGACCAAACCAACCAATGAAAACTACCCAACCTTACCCCCAGCATAATAAACAGAAAGTAAGGTACAGTACAGGGGGTGCCCGGGTTACAAACGGGTTCCGTTCCTGAGGACTTTCTTAAGTCGGATTTGTACACAGGTCGGAACACATGCTATGTGTATACCGTACTTATGTTTACCGTACTTATGTTTAAAGTCCCACTATATCACAGCCTAAGACCCTATATACATCTAAAATCAATTAACTTAAGACCAAATAAAAAACAGAATGACAAAATACAGTAAATGAAAGTAAAAAATAAATCATCAGCTAAATAAAATAATGTAAATTTCAAGTTTAATCCAGTTCGTATCGACGAGCATTTGTAAGTCGGGGACCCCCAGTACTGACTTTGATATCTGGTGCCAATGAAAGCAACTTTCTTGGAACAGCACCGTGTAATTTTTTTTTTTTTGGACACAAGAGTACACTTGGATTGGCTCAGTTGCTGCAGACAACAACACACACGGACATGGCAGATTTTTTAGGCCGAATATTTATGATATACTGTATAATTAACTTCTTCGCATACAAAGCACCTGGAGACATCATTTAAGTGTCACATGATCAGTTTTCACCATATTTTACCCTGAAATTTCTTTCATCCTTCATACCTTGCCTACTACAGGATCATAGATAATGAAAAACTAAAAAATAAAATACTAATAATTAAAATAAAAATTTTTGTCATTTTTAATACTTAACACCCAAAGAGCATCTGTGGAAAAATTTAATGTAATCCAACAACTCCTGGTATCAGCCGTCTGCTCCACATTACCTTAAGTTTCAATGGTTCATTTGGGGGGTTTACATGACACTTTACTACACATGGGTTGTAATCTCAATTATGTGCTGTCTTACAAAAACTAACCCACCTTATAGAGTTAGGACAGTACATTAATTATATATTTATATAATCATTTGTACAGTACAGTCTCTCTTCACCTTACAACAACCCGGACATACGACGGCCATGGTCGTATAAAATATTTTTCACATTACGTATTTTCGAGTCCCGACGTTAGTGACTGCGCTGTGTACTGACTAAATTTTCGTGTGTAATTCCCTTTAAAATGGCTGATAAGCGTAAAAGTGAGAGTTCTCGTGGTGCTGAGAAGAAAAAGAGACACCCATTTTAAAATTGCTATGTATTATTTTCGCCTTTTCGATTTATGACCTGGTCGTCGGGATGGAACCCGGTCGTAAGTCAAGGAGAGACTGTATATCAGTATGTTTATGTAGATGGAAAAATTCTTCTAGAACCTATTCAGTTGCTCTTAGGGTCCACTCAGTAGTGCATATATCAATCCAGTCCATTAGCTCACCTACCTACACTTGTGAATCAGGGACCAGGTGTTTGAGTATTGTTGCTGTGAAAAATAAATTCCAGCAAGGGGGAGGATATCCTGACATAACCCATCGAGCCAAAAAATGAAATACTGTACAGGTACTGTATATTGGAAAGATCTCTGCACAATAGTGGTTCAGTTTATTAATACTGTACTGTTGTCAAGGGAAGTGGGTCAAATTTCCTTGATTTTGTTCACAAAACCCAAAACCCAGCATTCCCAACGTGGCCCCCTACATTGTTGGGGTGGAAGGGGGATGGGAATAACTACCGTATACAGTACTGTATAAAAAAAAAGTGATTTTCCCCAAAGATAAATGTCAATCACCTAAAACAGCAAGAAAACCAGCAAAAAAATATATTCATGTGAAAAAAGATGATGGGTGGTTAACAAAAAATGACTGGGAAAAAATATAAATATTTATGAAAACATTTTTTTTACGATAATTAGCCATCCAGGCACAGGTCATTTGATGACCCACATCAAGGCCTGGGGGGGAAAAATGTAATAAAATAATAATAATAATAATAATAATAATCAATAAAAATAAATAATTATAATAAAGAAAATATTAATAATACAGTACTAATAAAAATTAATATAAACTATAAATAATAATAATAATAAAGAGCCATAAATAAATACAGAAAAATCAAGAGTGAGAAATTATATATGCATGTTGTGTTAATAGAAAGAGACAATCGAGACCCTGCAATTGTGTGTAAATGGAGCAGAAAGTCTCATCAGCAGCCTGGGACTTAGTCAATTTTTGTGGTGCCATATAACAGCAGGGTCTACCATAGACCATACATTATGTCTCCAATATCTTTCCAGGCGGTATTACCTCCCTGTTTGATAGCTGCCTATATCTTAACTCTTAACTTCCCTATACCTAGAAAACTAAGCATTAACACAGGAAAATGAATAGAACTGAAAGTAATCAGCATACAAAACTGGGATAAAAAAAAAACGACGGCCACGTTTCATATATTAGCCCTTACGGTACTTTGTTTAAATCTGCCACATCACAGCTGATGATGCAACTGTAAGAATGCTATATTAACTTGCCTTTAGTGTATCTATAAACCTAAGCCTTCTCCCAAGAAAATTAACAGAAGTTAAAGTAATCAGTGTACAAAACTGTCTAAAAACATCCCCCATAATTAACAAACCGCTGACAGTCACAACGTATATTAGCCTTCTTTTGAGAGTCCACATGTAAAATAATACTATCTATACTTCTATTTGTACTGGGTACTTCTCATAGTTTCCATATATTACTTAGAATTCAATAGCATATTCCTGACAAAATCTGACTACAGGTAATCCTTGTTTACTGCAAGGGTCAAGGTATTCTTTGTTTACTGCAAAGGTTTTGCTTCTCAAAATCTTCAGTGTGAAATTGCAAAATGCAAAACTATTTTTTTTCCATAAAAACAATGTATCAAAAGGGGGTGCATTCCTACCAGGGAACTTTGGGGGTACTCGAGTTGACTTTTCATACAGAACACATAATTCACTCTGAAAACTGCTACAAGTAATACATGACTGATCCCTGTCATGAACCCGACCTGACACCATCAACATACTGTAATAAACTCAGCAATGTATGCCATATATCGTTACTTAATAACAATTGCCTATTTATTAACTCTAACGGTAGCCTTAGTGTATGACAACTACTAATAAGCATTGAGGAAGTTTTTACCTCTTTCACTTTGTCTCGTCGTTGTCTGGCCACAGGGTCTCTGTCTTCACCTCCTTGGACTACTGGTAATGGGTTCTTGCCGTCGCCTCCTGACAAGCCTGACTTTTCAAGCTCAACTTCATTTCCATTTTGCACTCTCACACTCTCGTCTACTTGTCCAACGATCTGATTACCTTTATTAGCCACAGTCGAACTTACTGTGAGTACAACAGGTTTTTCAATTACTCTCATGTGTCGTAATTCTTCATCATTGTTTATTTTTTCCATTAACCGTTGTTTGTCGTCTGATAAATGAATATCATTATGGTCCACCACAATATGATAAAGCCCCTCGTGTTTTCTGATGGCCCCTTCTTCCCCTGACTGTGGCGGGGGAGGGGGCAATATGAGCTCTGGTCCAGCTTTTTGCATCTGTTTGTACACTTTGTAAACATGGTCTACCCTGGTGCTCAGCCCACCTCTCAGGTCAGGTAGGAAAAATATTGGTCCTATGCAAATGAAAAGAAAAGTCAAACACACCAAAAATATTAAGACTTTTTCTCTCGATCTGAATATTCTTCTAAGAGTCCAAGAGCCATTTCGTTTGCTATAAAGAGGTAAAACACCACCGAAGGCCATTGCTGATCCCCGACACCCTCAACATCCAGGCGACTACTGAACAAACCTGCGCCTAGCGGCTCAAGTGATACCCCAATACAGAAAACGGAGGTTGCATGTTAAAACCTCTTTGATATTTATTCACTTAAATCATCGTACAAGTTTACCTTGGTTCACAAAGTACATATATAGTACAGGCATAAAAAAGCATTAACAGTAAGCCGATTTGCGTAAAGGATAGCCCAAAAAAGATTGTTTCGTGCACATAGCTATAAATTCCACCTGAACAACGCTAACTACCAATTTATCTTATTAAATCTCATTTTAGAACACCTGGGAAATATAATATTAGTAAATACATAAATTAATAACTCAATAGAAATATTTCTTGTGTACATGTAATATATATATATATATATATATATATATATATATATATATATATATATATATATATATATATATATATATATATATATATATATATATATATATATATTGTACATTATTTATATACCTGCATTATCTATGTACTTATACTTTTTACTTTTATCCTCTTCACCTATGATCAGTTCGACTAGCATAAAAAGGAAGAACAAACGGAAGAAGTCCAAAGAAAATGACTTTGCAAACTAACAGCTTCGGCCGAAATAGCCTAACGGCGAAGTGGCCAGTAATCCCCAAAACAAGTTCAAGACTAGCATTGTCGAGGTACATTTGGAAACAATGACTGCATGGCGATTAATCGCCCAAATAAAGATATAAGGACTCGTGTAAATGGCTGTCTTATCAGATAAAAATACACGAGGACAAATCAACAGGATGAAGGCTTCATGAACATACATGATACCATCATTTGTTTGTTACGGTCAACTTATTTTTATTTCTTATGTATTTAAAAATAAATCGTATTTAAAGCTGCGTGCATTCGGTTCATTCTACCAGTTATGTCCATCTGATAAATGTTAATCGATATTCGTGATGCCACTCAGCAACCAAACGAGCAATTACTTTCATCTAAATTATCTTGACATCCATGCGTGGTCTTAAGGTTCTGTATCTGGACTAATAAGCTCTTTTGGTTAACAGTTAATTTTATTTTATGTTAGAGTGAGACGATCAGTGGCGAAGAGGATAAAAGAAAAAAGTATTAATTTAACCACAATTGGTAGTTCCTCGGCGTTATACTAAAACTTTTTTCATCCCAAACGATAAAACTTGACTCGTTCGTGCATTACATTTCAAAATTCTATTCTCGAACACATCATCATATAATTTCTTGTTCTGCTTACTATAAAATATTTAATTCATCATTCTGTCTAATTCATTATTTGATTCAAGTGAGAATAAAGTTGGTAAATAAGTAAGTAAACTGACATAAAATAATAATAAAAGTCATGTTATTCATTCAACACTTGTTAATTAAGTTTAATGTTGAGTGCTAATTTATTTCTACCTCTATCTATTGAACCATCTCAGCCCACCACACTCACCCTGCAGTTCACATTTACTCCCGCCCACCACACTCACCCCGCCATTCACATTCCCCCCACTCCCGCCCACCACACTCACCATCGCCTTTAACTCCCCCCCCCACACCTGTTCACCACACTCACCCCGCCATTCACACCCACCCCACTCACCCTGCAGTTCACATTTACTCCCGCCCACCACACTCACCACGCCATTCACACCCACCCCACTCCAGCCCACCACACTCTCCATAATGTTAAACCCATATACAGTACTCACCTCCTCCATTACACCCTCACACACACACACACACACACACTCACACACACACCTCTCAAGCATTCAGCAATCCATAAATAAACAAAAAATAACTGGCAAGGTAACTGACACAGCCCTGGAACACTTGTGTAAGTTCTTTAAGCGACTCCAACACATCGTTACTTCCACACTTGTGGTCAGCATGAAGCAGATCACTTGGTGCTGCGGGTGTGGTCTACTGCATAATTTATGTGCATTATAAACTGTAATAGTGTACTATAAAAATTTTCATGGTGATTTAGTATTATAAGTTTGGTTAGGTTGGTTAGAACAACTTCAAGTAGACCACACACTCTAAAAAGTCTTAAGTTGTCTTAGTAGACCAAACAATATACTATATAGCACCGATCACTCACTACGACTTGACATAATTATGATATATTAAGACTTGATACAATAAGACTTGTTATATTAAAACTTGATACATTATTTCAAGATAGAAAATAATTGAAATCATAATTCCATCAAAATCGTGAAATAAAAGATTAATGTTTTAAAAGTAAAAAAAAAATTATCATTGTCTACCTGAATATACTATACTGTACATGTTGAATCATTGTAAACTTATATGGCAATTTTACTGAATATCTATCTGTCTATCTATCTACTGTATGAACTGTCCGAATGACATACTGTATTGTACATAAGCAAAAAAGTGATTCATAGATTGTCATGTTAACTGGTCGCTCCCATAAATTCGTTCCGTAATATGCTACTTCAAGGTCCATTTTTTTACCAGCGTTGTCTAGGTACATTCTTTGTATACCTGCACTGTTTAAAAGCATGTTGAATTATATACCTGCACTGTCAATACATATGATGAATCTATGTAAGCTTGTGTGGATATTTTACTGAATAGAAGTAAACTGAACCGAAAAAGGAGTTTGATTAATGTTATGGTAATGAGCATATGTACACAGGTGCGTCTGTGTTGTACTGTACGTACATCTTGACCATGCTTGCGTGAGTGTATGTGAGTAGCCCCTAGGAGTAGTTAAACTTTAACCTGGTGAACGAGTCGTACACGGGAGAACGAGATGGTTGTGAAGGAGTTGGTTGTGGGTGAACGAGTCACTCAGACGTTTATGCTCGAGTTTATTTAGATTTTGGTGAACAAGTCGGTTGAACGAGTCTGAGGAACGTAGTTGTTCTTGGTGAACGGGTAGGACCGACGAATCATATCTTGTGAACGAATTAGGTCTTGTTAATTAAACGTGTCACGTGTACGAATCGGACCTTTGTGGACGAGTCGGGTGAACCGTGTGTGTGTGTGTGTTGGGATCAATGTTGCCAGGACCACACGACCATGCGGCGATTTTCATGTTTACTTCAAATCCAGTAACATGCCATGGCACTTCGATTACCCCTCGGGGTCCATATCACTTCTTGGGCTTCCACAACCAGCATTTTAACGTGGCATATAGCAGTGCTTGGTTATTTTCAACAACAAACAGGCTAATTTGATCAAAATTTGTACGAGGTCAGTTCAGATATGGCAAGGTGAAGTTGTTTGTGATTTTCTTTTTTGAGTCATCCAAAATGGCAGATTTGTTTACTAAGGAAGTAACGTCACTCCGGCTATAATATCTTATTATTGGTCGACAAACTCTAAAGAAAATTTATTTGATGTATTTTATGATTTTTATCTTCCAGTAAGATTGTTGTTGCCGGATTCTTGCAGCAGGTAACACGCAGGTCTAATTATTTGGTGTATTCTTTATTTTGTCGCAATGTAACGTTATATTGAAGTCATTATTTACTTAACTGAGTCGTCACATTATTTGAGTCATCCAGCCATTATTCGCTTCATGTAGCCGTGATTCCTCAAGTCTCCATTCGTCTCACTCAGGCGTCTCAGTTCTCCTTCTTCCTTAACTCATCTCAAGTTTCCACGGATTCCTCATTTTCCCGAATCATTTAATGTTATTAATTAATAAGCAAAACGAGTCTTACGAGGTACATTGAGGCAGATCAGTCAGATTTTGCAGCTTCGTCCGAACACGTAGCGAAGATTAACCCTCTAAGGCTAAAGAGTAGAGTCGCGCTTAGGTATTTTATTCTAGCTAACGCCTGAATATGTTCACCAAGACTGATGGTTCACCTTGAAATAATATACAGTGACCGAAAAGTCCCAATGCAACCGTAATATTAAACAATAGATTGTTTCCTTGTTACACCTCAATTTTTCTGTTCTGCTTACATAAGAACATACGGAAATAAGGAGTCTGCAATAGGCTGGTAGGCCTGTGCATGGCAGCTCCTGCCTAGAATTACAATCACTCTCTATCATCCATGAATCTATCTAGCCTCCTTTTAAAACTTACAGTAAGTATTGGAAATGGTATCCACTTTCAACATTTACTGTGATTATTTCTCAATATCTATAGTGTAAGGAGAACAAGGTTAAGTGATTATAATGTTAATTGTTGCACAGGGACTTAGCGAGCACACCCTGTATACTGCGAGTGGAGGCAACACAACCAGACGGAGTGCTTCAGGTTTTCAAAGATTCATACATTGAATTCAAGATATATAAACACAGTAGATAAATAAACATAGGTATTAGATATTTATTCAGTAAATTCATCATATGAGTTTTCATTGATTCAGCATGTATATAGACAATGCATTTATTCACAATATATAGACGGTGCAGGTATACAATATACGGTACATAGACATTGCAGGTATACAATATACGGTACATAGCGGTACATAGACAATGCAGGTGTACAAACAATGTATCAAGACAAGAAGATGAAACAATTCTTCTAACGGGATCTTTTAATAAGCTACGACACGGATATACGCATTAAAATACCAGTAAAACTACAATGAGACTCTTCCGTAAGAAATTATTCCACACATCATCGTCACTTACGAAGAGAAGTCGACGCTCTAGAAATATCTGAGGATGTAAATTTTGGCCTCAAGGACGATAAAAAGTGGTTCCATAAGCAGCTTCGTCACTCACTACAACTGTCCTCTCTCACACACACACACACACACTTGTGACGCCACCTGCACTTTCTGCTGCCTCTTATACTGTGCCCTGTCTTCGTGTACTTTTCGCCTCTTAACGGCCTGATATCCGCTTTGACTATTACGTATTGTTGGCACGTACTTAGGGGAGAGAGAGAGAGAGAGAGAGAGAGACCATCGTCTTCTATACTAATTAGTGTAAACACCAGAATATATTAAAAAAAACTTCCAGAAAGATTCAGTTGAATTATTTTTGCAAAATCACTTCTGAAGGTAGAATATACTGCACTTTTGCAT